AGTTATATTTGTAATATTTACAGTGCAATCTGACACCCGACCTCACCGAGGATGATTTGAATGCCCGCTGCCGAGGTGATAGGGCCTACCACTTTGGTATGCCCTCCCCACGTCCAGGCGTATTTGCAGGCCAAGGTTTTTGTGCACGAAACGCGCGCTCAGCCATAAGTGATCCGGATTCTGCGTTGGGCAGTGACTCGGCAACCAGCACCTCCGTCTCCAGTTACATTCCAACTAAGCACTACGGGAAGGTGGGACCCGAGGGACCCTGGATCGGCACCCTCATCCTTGGCCCCGGAATGGAGGTGCTGTGCGACGAGGCTGCGTCCAGCACAATGGAGGCCCCATTGCCACCGCCACCGATGCCCCATCGCATTCTGGAACGAAGGGTATGTGAGCTGACCGCTATGCTGTCTAACTGTGTTATCCCTTACACTGCGCGTGGTGAGTTTCGGTATCTTCGCCAAATGAGAGGAAAATAGGTTTTAAGCGGAACTGTTTAAAGCGTAATGAAGCGCATGCTGCGAACCGCATCTACAAGGCTGGTGCTGTTAGGCGATGTTTTGTTCACTTCCTTCTTCGGTATTAGCGGGAGGGGGGCAGGTAGCCCTAGTGCCCGTGTCTCAGTTACAAGCATTATGAGGGTTCTCGGGACTGTATGGTCATGGTATCGATGAGCATAGGTAGGAGGGTGACCAAAACATGTAGTACTTGGCGTGTAATGCTAGGTATTATAGCATGTTTCCCGTCAGACCTCTTTCCCTTACGGACATTGATGCGCGTCGTCCTAGATCCGGTGTCGGCAACCTATGGCTCGGGAGCCAGGTGTGGCTCTTTTGATGATTGCGTCTGGCTCTTTCAGATAAAACTGGAATTAGAAACTTCAGATTTTGTGACTTTGGTTCCTTCAATGACGTTCCGCCGCTGAGACGCGTTTTAGAATCAATTTAATCTCTGCCAATCTCTGGTGTTTCGACCCCCCCTATGTTTGACCTGGCGGTTGTTTCAGTGTTTTCTTTGCGGCTAGCCGACAGCAGCTGCTCCTCTTTTCTTCTGCGTCCCAACGGTCGCGACAAGCTCGCTAAAAAGGCGCTCTACTAAAACAAGACAGTCCCCAGTCTTGACCTCAGCTTGATCAAGGTCACGCTGGCAGACAAGACTATCTTACGCGCATAGGTCAACCTGCCTAGGCACTCAAAGTCCATTATGTTTATATTCCCCAGACGGACACATATATCACACGCAAGCAAACAGTTCATTCGCGGAAACTTGCCTTGTGTACTTATTAATCGCTCCTAACAGCTGACGCTTGCATGAAGCCTAACTTCACCAACTACCAACCTGACAACAAAGCCATCAGCAAATCCATGCAACACCAGAAGTCGCCTTAACAATGAGTATTATAAGAACATTATTTAAAAGAATTAATCTAGAGGGTTATTATACTCATATTTAATTGAATTTACTCTTAGAATATATTATATGGCTCTCACTAAAATACATTTTCAAATATTTGCTGTCTCGGCTCTCTGAGTCAGAAAGGTTGCCGACCTTGTCCTAGATGAATCACTGACAAACACAATATTCATAGTCCCGATCATATATGTATTCTGGCGCCAGTATCAACCTAGATCCTCGCCGTGGGGTGTCGATTGATGGTTGGAGTTAAACCTCCACCTCCTAACGCAGTTAGTTCAACTCCATCGATCCGCGCCGTTGCCTAGTTGGTGTCAAAGAGGTCAACTCCAGACATGCCTCGACACGGTTATTCAAAACATGGAAGTGGTTCTTGTACCTTCGGTATTATGCCTCTGTCGCTGGAGAAGATGATAGGCAGAGTCCCCCAAATCGTTATGCGTAGAGAGGAACCAAACGCGACATAATCGAGGCCGGCTAGGTCAGGCATGCTGATAACCATACCAAGTAAGAAGAGTCAAGCAAATCCCTGCAGATAGTTAAGGTCTCTGAGTTACAAGCCTACACGTTAACCGCTGACTCGGCGGACTCTTACATTTTCTGTCCTACTGTGTCACAAGGCTAAGCGATACATCTGTGCAGCGGCCGGGTGTAACGCGTAAACGCTGTGCCTGAGTGCACTGACGTTTTTGGGATTCGAAATTGTCCGACTTTTAGTAAGTACTTTCAAATTGATAGTAGTACCCCTTACCTCTCTTGCGTGTCCTTTAAGGTGCTGGCCAATTTCTCACAATGTCATAGGAACCGTGCTTCTCTCTCTCCCCCCCCCCTTGTGCGTTCGGGCAGCTTCGCATAGGCGGAACCCACATCTTAAAAGGACAAACCCGGAATGAATTATACGTGTGTTTTAAGTTAGCGGGTAAAGCCCTGGCTGCCACGAGTTTCGGGCCCGGTTCCATGTGGGAAGGTAAGAAGTGAGACGCCGATTGGGAGGAATAGTGTATTCTGTACAGAGGTATTGGAGCATAGATAGGAGGAAATTGCTTATCGAAAGAATGCGTGAGGGCCGCTTCCGAAAAGCATGAGCGTAGTAGTCACCACAGCGTCCTCAGAGCAGCCTTAGTGTGAGTCAGCCTTTAAGTTCATTGGCCAGACCCGGAGTGGGCAGTCACTAGAACATGAACACTTGCTAGCAGCCGCGCGAGGCAAGTATTCGCGCTGATCGCAGTCACTACAGACTTTCTCATGTTCTCTCTCTCTCTCTTTGCTCCAGCTCAATCCCTCCTACCGACTGCTGTCGCGCGCCTGCAAGACTAGTCTGACCAGACTGCCCGTCCTAGTTCAGCGACCGGAGCCCATT